TAAGTCTTTCGCCCACTTGTTTATTGGGCAGTTGTTTCTTTGAGGATTTGTTGTTGGGGGGTTTAATTTTTTGAGTTCCAAGTATATTTTAGATATGAGTTTGCTTTGATATTTCTTCTCTTCATTTTTACTCTCTGGTTCTCTTTTAGTGTCTGAGTCTGGACATTTTACTATTTCTTGATTTCCTTTTTCTGTTGCCCGTGCATTGAGTCTGTCTTAACTACTCCTTTTTTTTCTAGTTATGATTTTGATGGCTTGGAAGCTTCTGGTTCCTTTACAGGTTCAGCGGAATGAGGACAAATCTACTACCCTGAAATTGGCTGATTTTGGCCTTGCAAAGCATGCGGCGAGACCCATATTTACTGTGTGCGGGACTCCAACTTACGTAGCTCCTGAGATTCTTTCTGAGAAAGGTAAGTGCTTCATGATACCCATGAGCAGATGTCTTAGCTTTTGTGTTTGGTATGTTTCCAATATAGAACAGTCAGAAATCTCAACAAGCTTGAATTAGAGACTGAATTTGGATTTTACTGGATTATTTTGGACAGGCTTTCTTGATCATAGCTTGAGAATCTTTCTCTGAAGGATGCTGTTGTTACAGAGGACCCGTGTATGTGTGTGTGTGTGTGTGTGTGTGTGTGCGCGCGCATGTGCACATGCATGTGCGTGTGTGTAGGCAGGACAGTGAGATGAAAGATGGAGGGGAGTTGGGAGGAGAACATAGATCAGGCAAGATCATTTGTGCCTCTGGCTCAAATTACTTCTTTGGGAGAAAATGGACGCCATTCTTTATTTTCAGTTAAACATTATTTGCCCTGAAGCTTTGTAGTGAAGACTTAACTTTCATGGAGAGACTGTCAGTTTCTCTTTCTCTGTCAGAGAGTGTTTGAAAATGTATATATTCCTGTTACAACCTTTGGGAAGATGATTGGGTGCTATGTATTAAGAACCTCCACTGTACATTGCTTTGTGACATTAATTTCTAGAAATTTAGAATAATAATCATAGCTGGGTGCTGATGGCTCCTGCCTGTAACCATAGTTACTCTGGAAATTGAGTTCTGAGGATCATGGTTTGAACTCAACCCTGGAAGAGAAGTGCACGAGACTCTTATCTCCAATAAACTTCTAAAAAAGCCAGAAGTAGAGCTGTGGCTTAAGTTATAGAGCACCAGCCTTGAGTGAAAAAGCTAAGGGACAGCTCCCAGGTTCTGAGTTCAAGATCCAGGGCATGTGCACAAATGTTTAATATAAGGCTATTCATCAGAAAATTCACACAACATGGAAAAAAAACACAACATGGGGGATTTATTATGAAAAGGGCATGCTGACCACAGTTAGACATCATATTTGCAAAGATTATTTTTGTTTCCTTCATATACAATTCATTTTTTCAAAGTTTTCTTATTTACGTACTTAGTCATTTGTTTTTATTGTTATAAAGGTGATGTATGGAGGGGTTATAGTTAACCTAAGTCAGGTAATGAGTACATTTCTTTTTGGACAGTGTCACCCCATTTGCAGTTCTTATAAAGGAAATACCACAATACAATATGAAGTGAATAAAATAAAATAAGGGGTAAAATAGATACATGATCCTAATTCTGTTTTCAAAAATATCCGTCTGTGTGTTGGAAAGAGTGCATATGTACAGATAGCAAGCATTATTCGCCTTTGAATAGTCATCCAAAGGCCAACCGTTTTCTTTAAAAGAAAGTAGACAATGAATGAATAGACAGGGGACAGATCTGCCACCTTGGACCAGGCTTGTCATACTGTCTATCTCAAGGGCCAGGCCTTACATTTTCCAATACGGATGGTGTGAACCCTTCCATGTCTTGCACGCGTGTCTGACAAGCAGCTCACGCCCATGCTCCTTACCACACATGCTTGACTATGCCTGAGCTGATTTCTGCTCACTTCAAAGCGGTGTGTGTCTTTAGTTCACGCAGTAGCATGTCCTAGCCATACCAAATGGCCATACATTTGAAACACTTGCTTTCAATGGCTCTGCTTATCTTCTCATGAATTAAGAATAAGGGATTGCAAGGTGGCAGTGATCCATGCACCACAAATGTTCACTATACAAGAAGATTCATCAGAGAGAGAATTCCTGATGGTTGACTTTGTGTGGTGCAGGCACTTTGGGCTAGGCATTGGCTCAAGAGCAGGAGTGGCTGAGAGAAAAGTCTACCGTATTTGGAAGTGCCTCTTGTTTACTGAGAACTGAGGCCCTCTATGACTTACAGCTGTTTTGACCTAAGTTCTTCACTGCTTAAACTCTTTTCACTTTGGACCTGCTTGATCTCAGGTTCGCCTGTCTCTGCCTTTGTTGGTACAGGTTATGGCCTGCAGGTGGACATGTGGGCTGCAGGTGTGATTCTCTACATCCTCCTGTGTGGCTTCCCCCCCTTCCGAAGTCCGGAGAGGGACCAGGACGAGCTCTTCAGTATCATCCAGCTGGGCCACTTTGAGTTCCTTGCCCCTTACTGGGACAACATCTCTGATGGTAAGATTTGGGACTTCCCTAGGCAGGGGTGAGGTCTGAATGGGTGAACCCAGGAGCTGTCCATCCAGCCTCTGGCCATCCATGGCTAAATTTAAAAGTAAATGACCTGAGAATAAATGAAATGATAATAATTTAAAAAAAACCTCAAGTGCCTTGGTATTAGCAGCCAGACTTTTAAGTGATTGGGACTCCATCTCTAGAATCTGATGAGCCCTGTTCGTTGTTGCAGGCGCCCACGTGGCTGTGAACATTTGACTTCATGTTTGGGGAGGGAAATTCAGAACCAAGGGTACTCACCCCATTTCCCCACCCCCCCCTCACCCTCACAGCTGCGAAAGATCTGGTGAGCCGGCTGCTAGTGGTAGACCCCCAAAAGCGCTCCACAGCTCACCAGGTCCTTCAGCATCCCTGGATTGAAACAGTTGGAAAGACCGGCACACTGACCCTACAGAAGGAGGCGTCCACCAGCAGCGAGGGCCCCTCTCGAAGCCTGCACAAGAAGGGTGCAGAGGTGGCACTGTAGTCACCGCCTGGAGCATCCGCTCAGCCTCCATTCTGCTCGAGGTCGGGGTGGAAGGCGGAGAGCAAAACAATGAGAGATGGAAAACCAGGAGGAGAGACACTCACTAATATTTTAAAGATAAAGCAAGTCTTGATGTTAAATGTTGCAATATTCTTTTAGATGTGTGTATCTTACACCTTTAATACTTTTCTTCTTCTTTTTTTTTTGGTGGGGGTAAGTTTTGGTAATGACAATGTGTTTGCTCCCTCCTTGGAATCAAGTTCATGGTGTACTACACGCAATGCTTCTGGTGTCTGAACAGCCCCATAAAATTAATAAGGCGAATCATGGTCTTTCTGTGTTAATAAAGCATACTCTGAGTAATAAAAGTGGGTCTGTATTCTTGTTACTCCTCCATCCCTCCTGGTACTGGGGCCTCAAGCTCTTGCTTAGCTTTTTCACTTACAGCTGGTTGTCAACCTTTTGAGCCATGCCTCCAGTTCCAGCTTTTGCTGGTTAATTGGCAATAGGAGTCTCTCAGACTTTTCTCCTTGAGCTAACCTTAAGCCTCTATCCTCAGATCTCAGCTGCTTGAGTAACTAGGATTATAGTTGTGAGCCAGTGGTGGCCAACTTCTTCTTCTTCTTCTTCTTCTTCTTCTTCTTCTTCTTCTTCTTCTTCTTCTTCTTCTTCTTCTTCTTCTTCTTCTTCTTCTTCTTCTTC